TAGAAACAACTACCAGTCAACAGCAAAGTCATAATCTTCAATACGAATATCTACACAGTTCTACTCTATGGAGCTCAACCTTCAAAAACTACCACAACCATCAGCATTAATGTACGAGTGCTTATAAACAATTGTCTATACAAGATACTCAATATCCATTGACTAGATACCATGAGCAACAACCTACTATGAAAGAGAACAAACCCGGTCTCCATCTGAAGTGGGAAACCTCGCCTCGTGGATGCGCACTGCTGAGGAGCACACAATAAGAAGAAATGGCCGTCCAATGCTTCCAGGTTTTCCATGGTGGTCTGACTTCAATTAACTCATGCTTTCAACTATGAAAATACTGCAATCTCCACACAAACCCCTTCCAATTTCATTCAGAGCCCTATAAAATATGATGATCATCTAATGTCACCAACGATGACTGTTTCACTTCTTATATCGTTGAACTCTATCAAATACATCACTGAATATTCTTTACAGATTGAATAAAACATCATCATCAAATCCTTTAGATCAAAATTATATGATCATTATTCCCAACAAGGTTACGTCATCAGTCTAATCAATATCAAGACTGTTACAATTAACTTCGTCATTTGAGAACAATGAAAAATTCTCCCCCCCCCCACTCTCTCTTTCTTGTTTTCGTTTCTGGATATCATGATCAACATCATCAATCAACTACTGGTCAATATTCACATGAATTACTGAATGAAATTTGATTTTTTTTTCTATTTTTCCTATTTGAAAAAGAAATGACGTAATAAACATAATGTTGATAATGTTGTAATCATTCCAAATCACATGCTTGTCTTATTTTCAACAATTAATTATAAGGGGGTTTTCTGTGGAGATTTTTATTATATTTTTATGTATAGTTGAAATCATGAGCCAATTGAAGCTAGATCATCAAAGGAAAACCTGGAAGCACTGGATGGCCGTTTCGTCCTATTACGGGACTCCTCAGCAGTGCCCATCCACGATCTCGCCTCGCGAGATCCGAATCTAGGATCTATCAAACTCGCGCCAGAGCACTTGACCGATAGATCACTGAGCCGACATCCAACGGCTCTTTTTTGTAGTTGAATTCAGGAGTCATTTGAAGTTAGACCACCATGGAAAATCTGGAAGCATCGGACGTCCATTTCGTTCTAGAGTTGAACTCCTCGGCAGTGCTCATTCATGATCCCACCCAGGGGATTCGAACTCAGGGCGATAACGCTTAACCTCCAGATTATTAATTATAATAATTTATCATTTTTATAAATATTCACTAGTGATACTACTTTGTGATAAGTAATAAATATCAAATAGCATCCTTAAATATGAAACTGACATGTCCGAAATGCATCTGAGTTGTAGTTGTTTTTCAAATGCTCTATAGTTAACTGGATAAATTTAAAGGTCTGTTAAAAATATACCGTAGAATATAGACATGATCTCATAAGCGAAACTCCATCTCACATGCGAACGCTTAAAATTTAGACCACTGAGAAGACATCCATCAATGTTATTATCCAACTTCACTGGATCCAAAATATTGTGCAATTATCTTACATTGTGTTTGGTGGGTAACTGCCTCACACCCAACACGGACTAACTCCACTGGTTATAAAACCAGAAATTTTTTCTAAAAGCTAGTTACTAGTGTTCATTAACTGTCCTGGATTCAATTCTTGAGTGCCGAACTGTGAATGGGCACTGCTGAGATGTCCCTTACTAGAACAACATGGCTGTCCAGGGCTTTCAGATTTTAATTGCTAGTCTAACTTAGACCGGTTCATAATTTCAATGAAATTCAACAATCTTCATAACCTCGTACTGAAAATGCTTTTTTATCGATAGGTCAAATGGACTCAGATACAATATCAGAGAAGCTGCACATAAAATAACGCTAAATGTTTTTAATTGAGATACTGATATTTAACCTTTGCTAGATAAGATTAACTTGTATTTACTCAAATATCAGTGTTGATAAATTATCATTACCAACTGGTACACTTGCTACACTGCTACATTTCACCACTTCCCCATAATGTTAGGTCAACTCTAAATTCGGCCAATAGACGTCGGAACTTTTGAAGATACTGAAGTTAACCTTGAAAGACAAATATTTTATGTATGTAATGTTGAAACTGTTAGAAACTATCATGTTAATGACCATGAAACTATTTGATTGCAAACATTATTTTACAACATTTTAATATAATGCTCCATACTTACTTACCTACTTACGTCTGTTACACCTCATGGAGGATCATAAATTGTCCACCAGTATTCCCCATTCAACTCTATCATGTGCAATACGTTCCACTTCTTTCTAGTTGCTACTCATCATTCTGATGTCTGCTTCCAATACCAGGTGTAATATGTTCCTTGGTTTTCCGTTTTTTCGTTTCCCTTCACAATTACAACTTAGAGATTGACTCATGATTCAGTGTGATAATTCCCACAATGTATGTCCTATTCATTTCAAACGTCGTTTCCTGATTTCCTCCTCAGATGGAAATCCGATTTGTTCTCTCTCATAGTAGGTTGTTGCTGAAGGTATCCAGTCAACGGACATTGAGTGTCTTGTATGGACAAATGTTTATAAGTACTCGTACATTAATGCTGATGGTTGTGGTAGTTTTTGAAGTTTGAGCTCCATAGAGTAGAACTGTGTAGATATTCGTATTGAAGATTATGACTTTGCTGTTGACTGGTAGTTGTTTCTAGTTCCATATGTTCTTCAATTGTAGGAATGAAGACCTCGCACCATATTTCGCTTCGTTATGAAAAGAAAAACAAGAAAAATATTTCATTTTATTCATGAACTGACCATATTTATGTGTACAGAAATGATTGTCCTAGAAAACAGACACATGAACAAAATTATTGATCTTCTTAGTGAACACTTATCATTCAACCATGTTATTTTTTCCCCTTTTTTTGTTGCTCTCCCATTAACTTACTTAAAAATTTATAAAAGTTAATAAATGTGAATCAGTATACAAGTTAAAGTCTTTGTCTCTTGGTTAGTGTTTTTTTGTTAGCCAGTTGGTTTTCTGCGGGATGGGGTCGCTAACCACGTGCCCAACTCTCCTCCTTTACCCGGGCTTGGGACCGGCAGTAGCCCCCGAAGGAGCTACAGGACGAGTTCAAAGTCTTTGTATCTAAAATATATTATGGGGCATACTAAGTGATGAAGTTATTTTATTTATTATATAAATAGTCACACCATAACTTCATCATTAAATAATCTAATCTGACAATTACTAGTACAATTATGAATTTTATTAACATTATTAACCCTCTATATTGATGACTGATGATAAATATTAATGTTATGTGGGTTACTTATATCCATATAAGTAGTATATGGTGATGGTCAAGCGTAGAATCTATTTCAGTAGAAGGTCGATAATGAAAGAACGGGAACGGAATGCAATTGGTTTGAAATCAGAGAAGATAACCTGATATTTGCAGAAGAAACAGTCAAGATTGAGACAATGGATTGATAGTTTGCAAATTAACTGTTTACTGTACGGTTGTCACATGTTAGTGGAATAGTCTGTAATTTTGTGCATAAATACCGTAGATTCTCCCCCCCCCTAGTGTTGTTGTTCGCTACATTAACACCTTTCATAATACCTACTTTTTCAGACAACTGAAGAAGTCAGTTTCAACATCAACTTGGTAGTTAATTGCTATTCATAGTTGATCTACTAAGCTAGTTTAAGTCAATTCTATTTATACTACTTATATGCTCAAATGAATTGATCCTATTGAAGAGACTTCTACTTTTAACTGAATTGTCTAAAATGATAATGAAAGTTTTTCAATTAGACTGTATATTTGAGAGAATACAATATCATCAAAAGAAAATGAATATGGTTAACCAGTTGTGAGTCGTGAATTGGTTGAGGTTAGATATTAACACCATTGGATGCCGGTCGGCTCAATGGTCTAGAGGGTAAGTGCTCTGGTGTGAGACCGACAGGTTCTGGGTTGGAATCTCACGAGGCGGGTTCGTGAATGCGCACTGCTGAGGAGTCCCATAGTAGGACGAAACGGCCGTCCAGTGCTTCCAGGTTTTCCTTGATGATCTAGCTTCAATTGACTAACGCTTTCAACTATGAAAATTAAAAATATCTCATGTTACATACAACCTGTTTGTTTTCATATCATCCCACATAGATCCGTTTAGCTTCAATGACACAAAACGATTATCATACTTGCGACTATATTGAATTATTGAAATCATAAGTCAACTGAAGCTAAACCACCATGAAAAACCTGGAAACACTGGATGGTCGTTTCGTCCTATTATGGGACTCCTCAGCAGTGCGCATCCACAATCCCGCACCCGTGAGATTCGGACCGAGGACGCGAAGCTGGTAGGTCTTGGGTTTGAATCTCTCTCGCAAGGCGGGATCGTGGATGCGCACTACTGAGGAGTCCCGTAATGGGACGAAACAACCATCCAGTGTTTCCAGGTTTTCCATGGTGGTCTAGCTTCAATTGACTCAGGATTTCAACTACGAATATACTGAAATATCCACAGAAACCCCTTCTGATCTATATTGAATAAATTTTTAAAAAAAACAAGAAAAAAAAACAGGAACAACGCGATACACATGTTTTCAAACTTAACTCTTAACGTCATTGTTTGTTTTTTTAATGTTGCTTTAACTCAGAAAAACAAAAATAATCACAATATCATGTCCTATTGATTAGTTTGCCCCTAAAAATTGACAAACCAATTCCTCTAGTCATTATGAATAATCCAATCACATTGGAAAAAAACCAAAAAATAAAAAAATACTATCCTTTTTCTTTTTCATGAGTATCGTTCATTCAATAAATATGTATATACAACAAAAGGAGGGGGGAGGGGGATAACTGAGAATATACGCGTGCCTAAAGCACTTCTTTATTGATTGATTCTATTTTAAACAAAGTGCTTCCATTTTTTTTTGATGTTAATCGAATTGAATACTGCTCAAATTGAATTCTTCTTTCTTTTGTTTCTTCAGTTGAATTTTTAATTAACTAGGGAAATGGTTGTATATTGATTTATTTTTAACACTTTATTCTCCAAGATTTATTTTAAACAAAACAGAACAGAAAAACCAAAACAGAACAGAAAAACACAGTTTCACAAAAAGAATTTGATTTTATACAATATCTTACCTTCTCATTTGATAAAAACATACAAATGAATTCAGTTAATTCATGGTCATCTACATATCATCATTATCGTAATCCATTATTTAGACAACTTAATGAGAATTTAACTTCAACCAACGACTTAGAGTCTATTTCAAAGACAATTGCAAGTAAGTATAATTTGATGTTTGATCTTTAATTAAATTTGATCGGTTATATAACAAGACTCTAAAGTTACCAAGTAAGAAGGGGTTTTTGTGTGGAGATTTCAGTATTTTTCATCGCTGAAATCATATGTCAATTGAAGTTAGACCACCATGAAAACAACCGGAAGCACTGGACGGCCATTTCGTCCTATTATGGGACTCCTCAGTGGCAGTGCTCATTCACGATCCCGCCTCGCGAACGAGATTCGAACCCAGGACCTATCACTGTCGTGACAGAGCACTTAACTGATAGACCACTGAGTTGGCCGCCATCCAACGGTGTTAATGTCTAACTTCAACCGTTCACCAATTGTCTTTAGTGAGTTGATATCTCACAACAGACTTGGTTGACTCATGATTTCAATTATCAATAAGGATTTATGTTGTTTGATGAAGTACTTTATCTTGTTTAATGAAAATTGATTCTTGTGATAATCTACTGTTGATTTCATTCATGAATACTCTTTCCTTTATTGTATCGTTTGAATGATACTGACTATGATGATACTTCCATGAGTATTGGAATTTATGTAAGTTGACTTTATATTAGAAACAGTTTAGAGTAACTTTATCAGTCAGGTGTTTCAAAGTAAGAAAGGTGCGTTATATTTTAAAGAATGAGAATGTTTTATTTGAAAGATCCAACCAAATTTCAGTCCTTCTTTAAGATGTTTAAATGTCTGAATAAATGTCTTTGAGTAAGAGGTTGTGGAGATTGTTAAATTTCACTGAAATCATGGACTGATCTAAGTTACACCACCATTGAAGACCTGAAAGCATTGGACAGTCATGGCATTCTAGTAAGGGACACCTCGGCAATGTGTATGCATGATCCTGGAGGCAGGAATTGAACCCAGGATTTTTGGTCCTGGAGTCCCATGCCAGGGCATTACAGTCGTTCACTACTTACACATTTTCAACAGTGGTCTTACTTAGCTGGCTTCATGTTTTTGACTTGGAATTCGAACTTACAGTTGAAGATAACCATCAATTTTAAGATGCCCACCTAGTGATGCGTCACTGTCAAGATCACATTGTAGTGAATGAGAATGCAAGTGTGAACAATCGAATGTATTGGAATACAGAGTCTCTTAGTAAAATCTCAGATCCATACAGTAAATTCTTCATTTGCAAAAAGATCAGTCAATCGTCTCAGACTTTATTATTCCTTCGTTTCCACACCAATCACTCTCTGTTCTCATTGTCTTTTCTTTGATCTGCTTAATCTTCTGCCTTCAGGTATTTGAATTTCGATTGATGACACATACTACTTATATCTGTCGACATCAGTAGCACACATCACAACATGATGAAGCCAATAAATGTCAATAAATTCATCTTCTATTGGTTCGCAAATGATATTTCAATAAACTTTAGTAACAGCCAACCAGCTCGTTGAACTAAAACTTACAAAACACATTGTGATCAATTACCAAAATACGGAAAGAATCATACAATAAGGATGAGTAAATAAGCATTCCAATTCATTAGTTCTCAAAGTGATCACTTTATATTGCATCAACTGGTCTACATATCTCGAAATCCTTTCAGATTATCAGACATTGTAATCAAACTCATCACTATCTCCAGTGGAACTACATCTTAACTTTTGTTGAATAATTTGGCTGAGTCGCATATTTTAGCTTTCAGGGATTTACTTAAGTGTTGACAACTTTTCTACGATTGTTTTAGTGAAGTAATCAAGTAATCTTTTACTTGACTGTCTTTGCATTGATTTGTTATTTTAGATAAAGTCTCATGTTATCTATTGACGAGAAAGAATGAAAGAACTGTAGGTTCAAGATGACCAAGAACCTTGTTAAATCTAGGTCTTTGTACGGATGAAAAGTGTGATGAATAGTCAATGGATAGAATCACTTTGAATTTTTTATTAGTCATATGGGTACTTTAGTTGGTGAATGAGAATGACTTCAGGTTATTCATGACTTTTACCACACGTATTTCACACGGTTCGATTACTACAGTAGATGGGAGCGCAGTAAACTCAGAGGGACTTATTTCAGTATTTTTTGACTGAAGTGCTGATATACATCTACAAACATTTTGTGTTAGCACACTGAACTTACCTCGGATCTTTGAACATTGATAATAACATTGTTGGCCTCTAACCGTTAAAAAGATAGATGAACATAATGCAATAGTATCAGTCATATTGACCTTTTAATAGTTATTAACTCTCGTTATTACGTTCTGTTGATAGTAAATCGAATAGATAAATTTGCATAGTCGTATTGATATTGCCACTGTTACTCAAACCGGTACCCATCTCTTCAAAAGTCAGAGTGTAATCCCTCAGTTTATGAATATAATTAGGTAAATACTTCCCGTGAAGATTTGTCATACCATTTGTGTTGTAAGTCAATCTTTAAACTATAGCACCAAACTATTAAGAAACGGTTGTCCTGAGGGAAAAGATCTTAATATACAGGTAACACTATGGTTTACACTATACTATCAACATAACAATGATCCCCTCATGAAATTATTAGTTTTATGGTATGCTCATTCTAGGGTACACAACGTTTTGGTCACTGAAGGGAACCAAAACATCCAGGTTTTAGAGTTTACACCGAATGATAGAAAATTCAAACTACAGTTTACATAAAGTGGTACTTTTAATATTTTCAATTTTCACTTTTTCTCTAACAGACGATAAAAATGGTGGTGTTTCACCTCATTCCGATATTAAATTAAACATTCAGCAAGTGTTAAATGAAGAAAAATCTATTCAGACAGGGACAGGGCTTACAACAAGTGCGTCGACTTTTACCAGTGGACGACCATGTTTAGCTGGTACTCAAACACTGAAGCACCAGTTAACTAAAAATCAGGAAACTAATCTAGACATAACAAATACAAGTATTCTTAGTATGAATGCATGTGACTTTACACAAGACTCTAGTGGACTAGGGTCTATGATTTCTGAACATTGTAACACGAGTTATTTCAAGGACGGAGACCGGTCTGACTCGCATTTACACTGGCCTAATCACAGTCTTATAACTTTAGATGAGGATGCAAGTGATATGAGTTTGGATAAGAGTGATGATTATGCAAACGGGCCATCTGATAATAACAGAGAAGCCCCAATCATTAAGACAGAATATCCACATCTTGAATCTCAAATAAAATCTCCTGAGTTGGCTATGCGAACTTCACCATCTAGCGAAGGAAGATCAGCCATTCAATATGGTTCTGGTGATGAATTTGACTATGACGCAATGGTTGCTCAAACACGAATGATCGCTAATCAGAATTTTCAAACAATGGACGAGAATTTCGCATCTGTGGCACGTTACGTTGAAGAGCTGACAGGCTGTAGAGAGTTGAAAAAAACAACTAACACGAAGGACAGCCATATTACAAAGATTTCGTCCAATAGTAGACAAACAACTCCAGGCAAACCACAGCATCATCATTATCAGCACCATCACAACCAACAGCAACAACAGTGTGTGACCCAGCCAATGAGCCCACCACCTACCGGTTCTGTTCGTCATCAACAAGATTATCAACTTCTCAAGTTACAACAACTACAACAGCTCTACCAAAAACTTATTTCTTTACCATCAATGAAACATCCCAAAGTTGATGATAAAAGTAAGCTCAAGTTTTAACTTACAATTTGACACTATAAAATGTTTATCGTAAATAATCGTAGGAGGAAGTTATGATTGTCATCGTCTGATTTCAAATACCTATGTGATTCATAATAAACACTTAAGTTAGAAAGATTGGACTAGAAGATAGAATATCATTCCACTGACTTGTTTAAAATGTCTATTCAGTCTTTTTGACTAAAAACTTGGTGACGGTTACTTCTGTTAATTTTCCCGGTATCCTTTGATTAGAATCCCAAGTGGTGAATTACTATGAAACTGACCTTGATACTTTTTTATCCACTATTTGTTAGGTGAGTCAATCGAGGTTCAGTTTCAGTTTGGAAAGGACAGGAGGCTTGATGGCCTGTGTTAGTCCTGGCAATGATGGTCTCTCAGCTGATCCAGCTTTCTTTTAAACAGTCGATGGATGGAGCCTCAACTACGTGCTGAGGTAATGAATTCCACTCGTTGACGATTCGATGGAAAGTCGGTAGTCAGCTACCAAGTAATTCGTTCGGGGCTTGTGAACTTTTTTGGAGTGTCCTCGTAAATTTTCTGTTTTGGAAGATAAGAAAAATGAGGGCATATCAGGTGCAATTTTAACACTAAGCAATTTGAAAAATGTAATCAAGTCGCCTCTGATTCTTCGATATGACAGCGGGAATAGGTTTAGCTTGGTCAATCTAGTACTATACGGGAGCTTCGCTATTCCGGGAATCAGCTTAGTAGCTGTTCTCTGAACCCTTTCCAAGAGTTCACTGTCTTTTTTAGGGGACAGGGGCTAGCTGCTTGTATGCAGTACTCAAGTTTAGGACGCACGAACACTGTATACAAAGTCAGAAACGTTTTAGCGTCGAGATAACTAAAAACCCTACGCACAGACCATAAAGTTCTAAAACCTTTGGCGGCTATTGCACGGCAGTGTGCAGTAGTCTTTAAGTCTTGACTTACGATGACTCCTAAGTTATTGTGTGTCTGGACAATAGGTAGCTCAGTGTTATTCAGGTTAAACTGTATATATCAACTGTTCCAAAAATCCTTTGCAAGGTTAAATAAAGGATCAAACCAAATACATTTTTATAGATGTATTTCAACTTTCATATCTGTTAGGAAAATGGAAACTATTAATTTTAACTTCTGTTTACATTTACAGGACCTTCAAATATTCATTTTACTGATATTTCATTTCATTTCGCTTTATTTCAATAAACAGGTTCCACTGAATCAATAACTCAAGATTTACTCTTGCATCTTTTGGCAAATCAAAACATTAGTGAATCTCTACTGAATAATCTTTTACCAAGTGTTGACACGGCTTTTGAAAAGAATAGTCGAAGATCTTCATCAACAATTGGTCAGAATTGTAAACCATTCGGTATTTCGACAAATCAGTTACCTAGAAATAACCGAAGAGTTGCACTAAGTGATTTAACTTCTTATGATGAATGTCTTCTTCGTAGTATCCTGTCTAATACACCTCACACATCAGTGCAAAATAATTCGGATGGGATTCATCCCATTATGCAGGGGTTCCATAATAATAATGAAAGTTTGATGACTAATATACACAATAGACGATCTAATCCAATACAGAATCCGTTGTTGTCTTCAAACTGTAACCAGCTAGTTAATGTAATCTCGCAGCTGGATACTAATGCTGTGAAAACTGATTTGCTTTCCCATGCAGCACCTATTAATCCAAATACTATGGCTTTATTAGCTAGTTTATTGAATACTACCCAGTCTCAGTCGAATTCACCTGTTATTAATACTAGTTCTACGCCACAAGAACAACATATCATGCTTTATAATCTTTTAGCAAATCAGTTGTCCAGTTTTCAGTCCGATTCTGCTGTGAACAATAATAATACAAACATCTCACAACTACTTCATGAACGTGCGTCAAAACAGCGTGAAACAAGCTTACTAAACTCTATGCTTCTGAAATCTGAATGTCAAGGAGATAATATTTCACCTTCTCCACCTTCATCTTCCCAGCGTCGTCAATACACATTATCTGATAGTAGTTTGACGGAAGAACTTTCTCAGTTGGCTTTGCCATATCAAAAGCTAATGAGTTCATTCGAAAATGACATTGATAAAGCAGCAAATGTTTACAGAAATTCTGCAAGTAAGTTTGATCTATCTCTGTAATCTGATAAGCTATTTTTGTATAAATTCATCATAATAGCAACTAAACTAGGCTTATTCTTAAATGTTCGAAAGTAAATAATCCCTAGATTATGTTCATCACTTTAGGTACAGTGGCTCAGACAAGTGAAGCAGCTTATCACTGGTCAGGAAAACTGCCAATTCGAGTTCATCGATCTATGACCTTCTCTCGGAAAGTATTTCTTGGTGGTGTTCCTTGGGATAGCACAAGTGAAGAATTGGTAAGGGCTTTTTCTCGATTTGGTAACGTCAGTGTTTGCTGGCCACAAAAGGAGGGATCAAGCTCTACCAGTACACATATTAAAGCATCATCAAATAAAGGTGGGTAATTTGAATACAAAAACTCAAATAATCAGAACCTTTCACCTGCTTCACTTTATTTAATGACCATTTTATTAAATGTATTATTCCAGGTTACTGTTATCTGGTATTCGAACATGAAGTCTCTGTAACTGAACTGCTTGCGAACTGCGTTCATAACCCCACAACAGGTGGTGAATATTATACGATATCCAGTCCTAAATTCATATCCAAGGATGTGCAGGTCAGTTTATCTTACTAATCTACATCCATAAATCATTTGTAATTATTTACTAATGGAATTTCAGTACTGTTACCTCTCTCCATTTATCTGCTTCATTCTAAAAGATTACATAAATTACATAATTTATGACTTGACCAAATGAATGAGTAGATCTATCACACTCACTTCACTTTCGCCTGTTACCCCTCGTCGAGGAGCATAGGCCGCCCACCAGCATTATCCATCCAACTCTGTCCTGGGCCTTCCTTTCCAATTCTTTCCAGTTGCTATTCATCCTTTTCATATCTGATTCTATTTCCCGGCGTAGTGTGTTCTTTGGTCTTCCTATTTTCCGTTTCCTTTCAGGATTCCAAGTCAGGGCTTGTCTTGTAATGCACGTTGGTGATTTCCTTAATGTATGTCCTATTCACTTCCAACGTCTTTTCCTAATTTCCTCTTCAGCTGGAAGCTGGTTTGTCATCTCCCATAAAGCGCTATTGCTGATAGTGTCCGGCTATTGAATATTGAGTATTTTGCGTAGACAGCTGTTTATAAATACTTGTACCTTCATGACGATGGATGTAGTAGTTCTCCGAGTTTCAGCTCCGTACAGTAGGACTGACTGTCTTGACGTTCGTATTGAAGATTCTGTCTTTGAAATTAGTTGAGAGTTGTTTTGAGTTCTATATGTTCTTCAATTGTAGGAATGCTGCCCTTGCTTTGCCAATCCTCGCCTTTACAAGTAGATCTACCATCTTAACGAAAAAGAGTAAATAAATGTTCAGTATCCCAAACAGGTTCATATACTATCACTGAACAAAGTAACAGTCATAGTGTTACTCAGTTTAGCTTACTTTAACAATATTCTAATTAACCAATGTGTGTACGTCAAGTAAACTTTAACAGGGTACTCGGGTCCATTTATTTTTCAGTCTGAAAGGTAGGTGACTAGTTCTGTTCATCTCAACACAGCCAAACCATGGGAAGAAATACATTTTTACAAGATCCATAGAGTTAAAACTTCTGAAGGACTCCTTATGATAGTTTGTTATTTGTAAAAATTATATTTAAATTAATCATGAAGTATTTCAGTCGCTTCAAAATTGATCTTATATCCTATTTCTATAGTATATAACACTAGTTCCTATCTATTTTTGGGTTCCTTGAGATTAATGGAGGCTTTAGTAACATGTTACAAACACTGTTTATGTTCTTTCAGTCACATATTCAGCTATCTAGATATTTCTTCCATATCAACTGTATTGTGTTCATGTCAATGAATCTGGTAAACAACGCCATGTTACTCTTCCTTCGGTAACTCATACTTAACTTTAACTAAGGCTGATCTTATGATAGTAATGGCATGGGTACAAACTCTTATGTTGCGTTTATGTAGAATCCTTTTAATTGCCTCCGATTTTTCTACATGGTACAGAGTGACAACGATCTTTTTCCATTCCATAGGTAAACAGTACCGTTTAGTTTCTTCCTCATTTTTAACTATCTTCTTTTAAAACTCTTCAGGGTAGTTGTTTATCCTAAGTTTAAGGAAAATTAAAATAAGTTGCATCCGTTGGTCTTATTTCTCAGTCATGAGATCACAACTCCCATTAATCCAATTTTTTCACAACGGTGACCTTCACAGAACAAGTATGTGCAAACCCGTAATCTAATTATCTCTTAGAATGTGTCATTTTCTGGAATAAAATATTTTTTCTTCTGTTCTTGTCTTCTAGTCAGTGGATTTAATCTCTTTCGTTAGCCTAATGTTTTTTACATAATCAAATATTTCTTCTAAATTATGCAGCTTGATAATAGCAAAAATTTCATCTACATACTGTAACTAAACGTTTGATGGAATTACGCATTTCCTGATAGCACTAGTTTCTAAGAGATCTATAAATTCTCTAAAAATGGTGAAGCTAAGGATCCGTTGCTACACCACCTTTTTGTCCAAAAAGGTTTCCTTGGAGTATGAATAAGGTAGATCTTAAACGCAATCCCAAACAATTAATGACCCCGAAAAGATCTAACTATCATTGTAAATTTAAATCTATGTCAGATTCTGAAAACATCAAATGCTCTATTGATAGGTGATACCTCTCGTCGATCGAACGCTATATTCGTTTCCTAAGCTATTCTGGTAACCCACAGGCTAGAACTACTCAGCGACTTGAACACCAGGGAGAAGACGCAAGTATAAGATAAAACACTTTACTCCAAGGTTCGTTCTTGTACAGAAAATCACGGGTATTTATAGATGTTAGCGTCTGTTAAATCAACATCATATTTCAGACAATCCGTTGACGACATATTATGCTACCGACCAATAGTAGCACGCCACGTTGGAATTCTAGAATGTTCCACCATACTCTGATTGGCTAGGGCTCTTCAGCTCCTTTTGGGCCTCTGGAGGCTCCATTGAAGTTCTCCGAAAGCCGACTCAACAATAGGTATATAATTAAATGAGGAAGCGATACCGAAACTTCCCATCATCTTCCATGTGAGTGGTGCCAATATTGTTCGTGAAATCGGTAAAGTCTTTAATTTCATGACTAATCAGTTTTCCATGTGATTTCAGTATGTTTGCTAAGTAATTCGCTAGTTTGTATATAGGTGATTTGGTAAAGTCAACCACTGATCTTAGCGATGAATTATTCTTGTGAATTTTTCATAGTTTATAGAATCATTTCCAATGTTCAGCTTTTAAATGATTTCGAAAATAATCAATCAAATAATCAATCTGGCGCGAGACTGGTAGGTCCTGGGTTTGAATCTCGCCTGCGAGTTGAGATCGTGAACGTACACTGCTGTGGAGTCCCACAGTAAGACGAAACGACCGTCCAGTGCTTCCAAGTTTTCGATGGTGGTCTAGCTTCAATTGACTCATGATTTCAACTATGTAAACACTGGAATATCCACAAAACCCCTTCTGATTATAATCAATTTTCATTTTACCCATTCATAGTATACCAAAATAGTTTTTCATGTCCTCTATTTGAATAAAAATAAAGAGAATTCAGTGAAGAAAGTTTCCTCTTTTCGATGAAATCATTTAAGCGGTACATTCGTAATTAGAGTTATATGGTGAATATTATGTCTATGGAAGGAAAAAAAGGATTGCATCTTAAAGTAATCCCAAACTGTAAATATCAAATGAGGTTACGTAATAATCAAGGGATAAGAAAGGAATATAAGGATGAAAATAATTTACTGGTCAAATCATTGCCCCGACTGACAACAAATCTAAAGGTCATCATAATTAAAAACTGAATAATAATCAAGAAAACTTGTTTTGAAGGTAACTTTTCTTCTCTGAATTCTTTTTATGTTTAGTCAATGACATAATCGGTTATATTAACTGAAGAGCTGTAAAGATCCTCAGATCATTTGGTCTATGTGTATTTCTAATCCATTTGCCTAAATAAAAGTTTAACGAATATATGAAAAGGGAGATACCAATATTCTAACAAAATATTCTTTTACAGTTAAGATCATGAGTCAATTGAAGCTAGACCACCATGGAAGAATAACTGGAAGCACTGGACAGCCGTTTCGTCCTACTATGGGACTCAGCAGTGCGCATCGACTATCCCGCCTCGCGAGCGAGATTCGAACCCAGGACCTACAAGTCTCGCGCCGGAGCACTTAACCGATAGACCACTGAGGTGGCCGGCATTCAATGGTGTTAATGTCTAACCTCGACCAATACACGATCTGTTTGAATATCTAGGCTACCTGTTCCTGACATCAGCATATCTCAACATGTTACGTGTCTTTTGTTTGTTTTAACACATCATTATGTCTATTCATTGCATAACCTATTTGGGCGCGTTTATGAAAAGTTTAAGATCTTTCACTGTACAACTTACAAAAAAGTACAATCAGAGATATCATGGTAGTTGGCAGGCAATATGCATTGAAAAGATTGATCATTGTTCAGATGTCGATTCCTGAACAACTAACATCTAATTATTAGAAGGGGTTTTTGTGGAGATTCAGTATTTTCATAGTTGAAAGCGTGAGTTAACTGAAGCTAGACCACCAGTGGTCTATCGGTTGAGTGCTCTGGCACGAGACTGGTATGTCCTGGGTTCGAATCTCGCGAGTCGAGGTCGTGGGTGCGCACTGCTGAGAAGTCCCACAATAGGACGAAACGGCAGTCCAGTGCTTCCAGGTTTTCCCTGGTGGTCTAGCTTTAATATCTAATTGTTTGTTACTCGATATTTATCGTCACGATAGGTGATGAAATAAGGAAAATGAACTTGTTGAAATACTTTGTGCTGAGAATTCTATATTGCACCGAAGATATAACACTGAATAAAGCTTATTATTATTTTCTGTCGAATAAATCGACGGTTGGTTATCATTGAATTATTAACACAATTACTTTACAGATTATATCGGTGGGTAATTTTGTTTTAAAAAACTGATCTTTAGTCATTTGGTGAAGTGAATTCTTGTTAACTGAAGGTATATAATTGTGTACACTGGCTTAACATTATCAATATGTGAAGTAAACTTAATGTGGTCAGACACTGCTTTCAGGAACTAATTTGTGTTTGTGAATGGGTTGTTAGCGGAACTTATACACCTCTCCGAAATTATTTTATGCTAATATATATTTATAAAACTTACTTTACAGGTTATACCATGGGTCATCAGTGACAGTCAGTATACAAAATCAACTCCTAGCTCTTCGGATATCAAGAGGACTGTGTTTGTTGGCGCGCTTCACGCTTTGATTACAGCAGAAATATTAGTAACAATTATGAACGATTTATTTGGAAATGTTATTTTTGCTGCTCTGGATACAGATAAGTACAAATATCCAATAGGTAGGTGATTGTAAGGTATAAATTATATGTAAACATCTATTTGACTAAGGATTCATACATCATTTTTGGTGATATTAGTGTTCTAGCGTTCTGTGGAACATGTTACCAAGTACCAAAATACTTATCAGTGCCCTATATTTTAAATTCAAATTCGGTGCTATGATTAAGAGTAGAAATCAAAAAATTGACGATTCATTTTAAGAAAGTCATTTAACGTACAAAAATTTGAAATTCGTCAAACAAGGTATCGGATTTCGATGAACATACATAATAAACAACCCAATTCAAGTTGATCATACATTTAGAACAATAGATTTTTGTTAAACAGTTTCCAGAATGTTCGAAATGACTAAAATTTTCTGATTAACCATTAAGAATAGTTTGTCTGTCTGAAAATTGTACACACATATTAACCAAAAGTGTGTTCCGGCTTCTTTTTTTCAACTAGCAACAATCAAAAGGTGGAAGTGAGTCTTAGAAGATTTCAGAGACATTTTTCTGAATTTTTGTCGTGATAGATGGAATACGTACTTCAGATGAAAATAAGAAAGACTATAGTAAGCAGAGATGGATAGCGGCTAGCAGTGGAATCCAGTTTGACGCGCGTCACTTCGTCCTATTTGGGACTCGTCAGCTGGATGAACCTGCATCTCAGAGTTGTTTTTCACTCTGTGACTCGAACCCACTAGCTTTCGCTTCAAACACCATCGCGCAATACTAAATGAATTTAAACTTCACCCCATTGCACAAGCAAGTGGCTATCAGGACTCAGTGGCCGAGTGGATTAAGCGATGGTGTTTGAAGCAAAAGGTACTGGGCTCGAGTCCCAGAGTGAACATCAACTCTGAGATGCAGGTGCATCCAGCTGACGAGTCCCAAATAGGACGAAGTGACGCGCGTCAAACTGGATTCCACTGCTAGCCACTATCCATCTCTGCTTACCATGCTTGTGAATGAAGGCAATAACGAGGCAATACGTACAGTATGCACATATGCCAATTAGAGACTGACCAGTTGCAGTCCTAACAAATCGATGGGAAGATTCAAACAAGCAACACTAAATGAATTTAAGAAAGACTATACTTTATGGAGATGAGATTATTTTATAGAAATAAGAAAAACTTTACTCTTGTCCCTTAGTTATTTTCTTATTAGTAGCTATAATGCAGTAGTTGGAGGTCTATAATCTCCAGTCAATAAGTTGGTTTCAAAGATAAATATAGTAACTTAAAACATTTGGTTGAATCGTATTAACTTGTTTACCTTCTATTGATTTTTATATATTTAGGTTCTGGAAGAGTGATTTTCTCTAGTCATAAAAGTTATATGAAAGCGATTACAGCCAATTTTGTGGATATTCGTACTTCGAAATTTATTAAAACTATTCAAATAGATCCTTATTTAGAAGATGCTGTTTGTAATAGTTGTCTGTCATATCCTGGCATGTACTTTTGCAGAGCATTTGAATGCTTTAATTATTTTTGTCCAGCATGTTGGCATATGTGGCATAATTCAACGGAAACATTGTATACACATAAACCTTTGAGGAGAACATTTAAACCGAACATTGATCGTCAGTGGCAGACTGGTGTGGTTGTAACGACGACAGTGACGACGACCACGGCGACGGCAACGACAACCGTATCCGTAGCCACTACAACACAAAGTAGATTTTAGTAAATATAATATGACCAATTCAAGATGATCACCGTTATTAATTGTAACCGTTTAAAGTAGTGATCATCTCATTCAGTCTTTAACCGTTTTTATATGCATACATAAATAATTTAGCACAGTTTTCTTTTTCCTGTTGTTTAACCCCCCTTTGATCCTCTGCATTCGGATACACTTTATACTTCTGTTATTCTTTTCTCTGTTATTATACACAAGTTTAATAGTTTTTAAATGTTTTAGTTCGACCACACATAGAGAGAAAGTAATAATCATTCCGTTCTATACAATGTCCACCCTCTTCAGTGATTAATGATGGTTGTAATAATAATTATTATTATTGTAATACTCTTTCATAATATTCCATTCTAGTCTTTATAAACTTTTATAATCACCTTTATTATTGTTCGTCTCTTTATTTTTTTTCCTGGAATTTTTAATATACACAGACCAATTTCCAAATGAGTTTGTTCTTCTTTTTTTTTAAACAATAATATGATTCTATCCATGTTTGTGAGCCCATAGTTACTATGGTTGTGTGTGAGAAAGGTTTGGTAAATCTTATTGTTCAGTTTTGTTAATAAAATAGTTTTAGTGAATTGTACATTTTGTTTTCAGTAGGACGAAATCCGGGTTCAGGGTTTTTCTGTTGACCACTTCCAACCACCATCTTATCTCAACATAGTGCACCCAGTGTCGAGCCACCTAGACTGGTGGTCACATTGCAACATGATCGATAGCATTTGATCAACACTAAGAAAGGACTTGACACGCATGACATTGATCACCACCCAGTGATCAATCAATTGTGTTTTCAGTAATATTTGGAACCTTAATTTTGTACATCTGGGCAGCCTGTTGACTAACGAGTGTTAGGTCTAGGGTTATAAGAGTGAATTTTTAGACTGCATATCATCGGTTTAGAGACTTAAGTAGTTAGATCATTCAAATAGATCGTTACAAAGTTATGTTCTCTCCAAAATACAATTATCTGCTAGTTCATTGGACCCATGCTTTACTTAATGAGTTCAGGTGAGTGTGTTTTTATTGAAATCTCTTGAATTGAACAAGAAGATAATGCTGATACATTTTCATGTACATTCACTAACCAGAGGTAAACCCAGGCGTTTATTCCTAGAACTGATACAATAAGTATATAATGAATTTTTCGATGTATTACTATAGTGCAATTGTATCTATCAACATATAATCCAACTAACTAACCAACTCGTATGAAGAACTTAAACCTAATCTTACTTCTGATGTCTGTTCATCATGCAATCGATTCTAACATATCAGTTGAAAACTTTGGTATTGTCAGGAATGAAGCACTTCAAAAAGAAGGATAGGAGAGATTGAGTCCCTTTCAAATAGTCCCCGATTCCATTAAGAGGAGTGTTAGAAATAGTATGTTCTCCAGAAAAAATGTATTATCCCCAAACCAATCATAACATCTTAGGGTTTTAATATTACAGGATCTCAGAATTGCGAATCCCTGATAATACATCCCAACTTCTTAGCCAACGAGAAACTCATATTGAATCCCATAAAATAGACGATTCAACGACGAATGTTTCCTTGTCGGTATTAGAAAATGAGATCATTCAAAAGTTATTATCAAAGCAAAGCGTTTATCATGTTTTCTTTCAGGTTTGTAAAGACTTGATGGAGACGATGACTACAGAGCAGCAACAGCTTAAGTGTGCACACGCACGATTTTACGTTCGAAACAAACCTTTTTTAAACAGTAGATAATGAAAATCCATTTCATTCAAATTCTTTATTGACCGTAATGTACTTAATTCTGAATTGTTAGCCTACCTTCATAGTTAAGGTACCAGATACATAGTACCTTATGTAAGATTTTAGTATTATTATAAAATATATGAATGGAATAATACTATAATCCAAAATCAATGGTATTCAAGATGGAAACTTTTAAATCTTACCATTAAAAGAAAAACATTCTCCTGACTATCGGTCATTTGTTAAGTAATTCTGAAAATAATTTTATGGAGTACTTATGACACTTTAGATTGAGCAATCAAATCATAATGTGGTGTGGTCTACTTATATCCATATAAGTAGTACACGGTGATGAGCAGACATAATGTATTTTGGCAGAAGATCGATATGGAAAGAACAGAAATGAAGCGCAATCGGTACGACAATGCATGAACAATGAAATCAGAGAGGATGGACTGATATTTACAGAAGGAACAGTTAAGAATGAGACAATTGATTGTTATTGTGCAAATTAACTTCTGACTGTATGGTTATCAGAATTTAGTGAGATAGTCTGTAATTTATGCTTGAATAAATCCCATTGTCCCCGCCCGTGTTCTGTTCACTACAGTATTAGTGTGGTGTGTACTACTTATGCAAACAGACACAAGTAATACGTATCAGGAAATGTATGTAAAATGCTTGCCAGAAGAGGACTGAAATCATGTAAAGCAAAAACAAAACAAAGATCAATCGGAATGACAACAGGATGGAAAGAATAATGAAATATGCAATGGACAACTGATGGAAGATATACAAATGATGTATTCAATGTATGATTGTCATATTTTTTGAAGTTCCTGTTTAATTATTGTTTAAAACAGTGAATAGTCTATGCCCATCAGGTCCACGTTCAATACAGTCGTAGTTTACACTGTCGGAATATCCTGAATTGTTTTGTTAAAGATTATCCTTTTATCATGTTTTATTTCAATCATTCTGTATTATAGATCAGAAGGGGTTTTGTGGGGGATTTAGTATTTTCATAGTTGAAATCATGAGTCAATTGAAGCTAGACCACCATGGAAAACCTGGAAGCACTGGACAGACGCTACGTCCTATTATGGGACTCCTCAGTGATAGTGCGCGTCCACGAACCCACACTCGTGAGATTCGAACCCAGGACCTACCAGTCTCGAGCCAGAGCCCTTAACCGATAAACCACTGAGCTGGAATCCAACGGTGTTAATGTCGTGGATCGTGGATGCGCACTGCCACTGATGAGTCAATAATAGGACAAAACGGCCTTCCAGTGCTTCCAGGTTTTCGATAGTGGTCTAGCTTCAATTGAATCATGATTTCAACTATGAAAACATTCTGTATTATACGAAATCGAGTATGACACTGCAAAAATACGATTAGATTGCTTGACCACCAAATTCGAATAAAGAAATAAGAATGAATTTGAAGTACTTGAGATTTCTTCCATTCTAAGTTTTCATCTGTTATTATCGTTGTGGAGAAATTCAGTAAACAAATGCTATCGAATAGATGGAGATTACTTAGTTACTTATTTACTTACGCCTATTACTCCCAATGGAGCATAGTCCGCCGAACAGCATTATCCAAACCGCTCTGTCCTGGACTTTCTTTTCTAGCTCTATCCAACTTTTGTTCATTCTCCTCATGTCTGTCTCCATTTCACGGCGTAATATGTTCTTTGGTCTTCCTCTTCTCCTTTGGCCTTCAGGATTCCATGTGAGGGCTTGTCTTGTGACGCAATTGGGTGATTTCCCCAATGTGTGCCCAATCCACTTCCAGCACTTCTTCCTGACTTCTTCCTCCACCGGAATCTGGTTTGTTCTTTCCCACAGTAACTTGTTGCTGATAGTGTCCGTCAACTTGCGTAGACAAGTGTTAATAAACACTTGTATCTTCTGGATGATGACTTTCGTAGTTCTCCAAGTTTCCGCCCCATAGATGGACATTACACATATTACTTATTCAATGGTTTCTGATAGCCTAGTAAATCACTAGCCGTGATCATAACCTGAAAATCAGTTACTCCTCCATCAACTTTCATTCGTCCACACAATCAATGTTCCTAAATATACTGTTTGAGTACATAGTGCTAAGCACTTGATCGGTATTTGATAAGTTACATTTTTTATTTTTGTCTCCATGTTACGTTACTAAAATGGCCAGTAAGTAGATAGTAATGCATTGTGTAACAGTATATAAACTACCATTTACATCGATTGTTCCAGAATGACTTCATTGGTAAAGAATGTATCAAGAAACTGGACTTCGAAAAAAATTGTTCCAAACAATGAAAAGAATGAGAGAAACTAATGAAAAATTTCATACTACTTATTTACAAAAAGTAGAATGCTAAAGCTTATAAGTAATAAACATAGTTCATAGGTTGGTTAATTTCTGCTTGTCAGTATGAAGTTGTAAATATTGCCAAACATCATTGAAATCATTGACCGACAGACATTAGACCATAATTGAAAACCTTGAATTATACGAGGTTGTGGATATACACTCCTAAGGTGTCCCCTGCCAGGACTAAACGGCAGTCTGATGCTTCAAAGTTCCCAATGGTGGTCTAAATTAGATCGGTTCACGATATCAATGCAATCGATATTTCTTCGCATGAAATTCTGAAGATTGTAATTACTTGCTTACTTACTTACTTACGCCTGTTACGCCTCGTGTAGGAACATAGGCCGCCCACCAGCATTGTAATGCATCAAGTCATTGGAGGGGGGAATGAATTTGATTATTTCAAACCCTCAAGAATAACAAACTGACTTACTATGTCTCATTTTAAATTGCCTGTATGTTCGCTAATTTAACGAGATTTCATTCACTTCTGTAAAACTACCTGAGTATCGTTGTTACTCATACCGTATATAATTACTTCAATAGCTATTTTTTTACTTTATCAGGATGTCGTTCTTTAGAGATTGTTCAAGTTTGAAATTCGCATTCATTATGAACTGTAATCAGCTTAAAGATTGGAAACCGTCGGACGATTTTTTTGTTGTAGCGTAAGATATGTGATCATCGTCCACATATGACACCGTGAGGAATCACTAAGAATAAGATCTCAACCAGTCATGTGATCAGGAGTTAGTTTAATATAGTCATCAATAAGAATTCAAATCCATATAAAAATAAAAAGCCTTTCGAGAACGATCGTGGATATGAGAAAGTAAGTGATCTAACATTTTCTAATTGAAGCTAGACCACCATGGAAAACCTGGAAGCACTGGACGGCCGTTTCGTCCTATTATGGGACTCCTCAGCAGTGTGCATCCACGATCCCTCCTCACGAGATTCGAACCCAGGACCTACCAGCTTCGCGCCGGAGCACTTAACCGGTTCGAATCTCGCGGGTGCGGGATCGTGGGTGCGCACTGCTGTGGAATCCCATAACAGAACGAAACGGCCGTCCAGTGCTTCCAGGTTTTCCATGGTGGTCTAGCTTTAATTGACTCATGATTTCAACTATGAAAATACTGAATTGTCTAGAAAAACCCCTTCCGGTCTAACATTTGTTGAAAAGAATATTCTGGAAAATTCACTAATATTGGATTGTGAAAAAGATGACTTTCTACAGCTACAGGGAAATTTTGTTAGTTGAATCATCCACCGTGATAAATATAGTACAGGGGATTCTTGTTCATTGAGCTTGAAACCTACAAAATAATCATCTAAATTATATTCATCCATAGTTTAACTTTTGAGGAATACTTTCATGACTTACGAGAATCATTCTCAATGGAATGAAATCTCAAACAACTGAGAGAACCAATGTGTGCTTAATGCATAACCCTTTTACAAACTGAATAAAGTTTGTAAGAAAACATGCAATCCCAAAAATAAAAGGAAAGAGCTTGTGTCAACAATTCGACTTTATATTTATCTGATCCAACTAAACTATAAGGGTCAGTATATAAGTGAATTCAACTACATCACTCACTATGATGCTAAACTAGATTTGAACTTAAATTGAACGGTATTTTGCACTCATCCTAATAGCATGATGATTTCCAAAAATACACAAAAATTTCACTCCTGAGTAGCTGATAATTATTAATTAAAACTCAGCTTTCAATGTCAGTTCATATGCAACTGGAATAACGTCAACTATTACGGAGTCATAATCTCAGCAAAGCTATGTGTGTCTCATGTATAGACTGAGTCCAAATGAATATTCTTTATAGATTGTAACATGATCAGAAGTCTGATTCAGTCCCAAATTCATATAACCTTTCACTTAATGTCTGACTATTACAAAGATAATGTCGGAGAAAACAAACTAAACGGGAAATTGTATTCATAGGATTAGACTGAATAGCTGAAGTGTAATTGTATACATCTAATGACTGAGACAGTGGTCATATTGGAAGTTTATATGTGATCTTGGGGTAGTAATTAGTCTCGTTATTCATTCCACATTTTTTTCTTGTAAACTTTATTTTAGGTCGTCATGCGATTGATACATTTCCTGTCAAAATAAGGAACAGTTTTTTGACAGAACAAGAGGTCAACAAAGACCTTAATAAGGTAAAATCTGGGGAATGTTTCGCTCATTCGAATCATTCACTCACGTCGATTTCAATCGGAAATCATTGTGAGACAAATGTTTCGAATTGATTGATTCCTGACCAGATTGTCGACATTGTTTTATTAGATGTTAATTGTCCTAATGTTTCATCTATTTCTAATGAAATCCTTCATAAGTTTGAAGGAAATATTTCAAATAAAGCAAAGTCTGATGAAATTCCTGATAATGTTATTAGTGTGCGAATGTATGTATGTATGTTTACAGCAAGTTGCTACAAAGTATTTACATAGAACATATACATAGCCTTCAGTTGTCCATTTGCATCACCCAGTGTTTCTATCATCTGAATTGTCTTCTCGTCTGGTTTCCAACTGATCTCTCAACGCCGTATTTTTGATGCATTTGAAGTGGTTCCTCGTTTTTACAAGTATAAGTAATTAGAGATTACGAAATAACAATTTCTGGAAAAAATAAAGTTATAACAATCACTGACGGATTATAACTCAGTTGTCTGTTCACCTTACCTTTAATCCTGTTTCCTTAGTTATTCATATGCTTCTGCTTTTTCTACCAACTCGCTGTTACAATAAACGATGCGGTTACTAATGTAAGAACATGTCAATTTCAGTCGCAGAAATAAAACCAATGCTTCAATTTAATAAAGTTGTGTTCATTAGATCTCGTTTAATGCTCATCAGTGAATTGAAGGAACACATGCGGCGAGACTGTAATTTATGAACGACTTTGAGAAATATTAACCAATCAGAAAACAGTACAGAATAAAATTATATTAGACAAAACCAAAGAATTAAATTGGATACACTTCTTTTACATGGTTCAAAAACTTGTGAAGATTGGAAATGGGTTGAGAGGTTCTAAAATCGTATTGCATACAGTAGAAAAACTCATCCATATAGCTCCATTATAGTTGGCCTCCGGAGCCATGATAAGGTCTCGAAAACTCTTTCAGCCTAGAACACATTGCTTCAACATTGTTTCTGTGCACTCCGGTTGTTAGGTCCACAAAATGTCCCTTGTATATAACGACATGATGCACATAACCAAGTCTATGTAGGCATCCGAACGCTCTCCAATCATCCGTATATATTGTAGTACCCGGTTGCACATATTCCCGTATAATTGGTATTATCGATGTAGCCTGTCGGTTTCTAACCCATTAAGAGTGTCGTTTTTTGAAATAACCTGTCGTATATCCAAAGAACGTGTGACGTATATTTATGGAAGTGCTACTTACTAAGTCTTCTTTAAAACTACGTCCTCTGTTGAATTTTCGTTTTCTGACTACTGATTCGTCTATTTCAACTATTCTCCTCACTCAATTATCACGTATTCTCTAAAATCCTCTATGAACCGGTCGTACATGAGCATCAGGTACTGAAATCGGAACTGTAACATTGAAATCCCTCAAACGCTTCTGATTTACTCGTCCATAAATCATAGACTCACCACACATGCTTAAGCGATCAAATGCGAAATCACACTCGAAATCATTTTAAGAAAAATGTTTCAAATGAATCAATTTCCAATCAAATTCCTAATGATGTCATATTACATGCTGACTATCTTGATGATAATTAGTTTCTAATGGAGTCTTTAATGAATTCTGGCGATATCAAAACAATGTTTCTTGTCCTCACAATGCATTTGTTTCCAGTGTAAATCTTATTCAATATGAAGTACAAATTCCCAATGGGTTCAAACCTAATCATAGTTCTGATGCTCCCTTATCAAATGTTATTTATCTTCATAATCCACTCACTCCTAGTCACTGTGAGAAATGTCTTCTAAATGATTCACAACCTGATCATATTTTAAATGTTATTCTAGCATATATTGGATGCTTCCATACCTCTTATATGTCATGTACAATCCCTACTGAATATTATGATGAATCAACTGATATAACAAGTATTTGAGTAACAGTCCCGAAACTACAACGTCCAGGAGTGATGTTGTTTATACAGTGGAAAATTTTAAATTTAGTCCCCAAAACTGAAAGGTCGAAAATCGGAGTTAGGCTCGATACTCATGATAATAGAAATGAAGATTCATTCAGAATGACAGAGGCTAAACCAAACACTAGATCAAAAGTTCATGCATACCTCAGGAAATTGAGGTCAAGTGAAGATAAATAGCGTGCGGATATCATTCCACCAAAGATGTTAATTATCATTAACACTTGCACAAAGCAACCAGTTTTTTGGGGAAAATTGTTTGATGAGCAATCATCAAATTTCAACATTCCTTATAGTCAGCTACAGATACCCTACAAGTCTGATTATTATCAGAATAGGGTTTTGTGAAGATTTTAGTTATTTAATAGTTGAATTCATGAGTCATACTAAGACGACATGGCCGTCCAGTGTTTTCAGGTTTTCCAGTGTGATCTAGCTCTAATTGACTCATGAATTCAATTGTTAAATCTGATTATATTTATTTTACTTATTCAGACAAAGTGAATGTCAAATACAAAACTAAAAGGCAAACCTTGTTTAAATAATTCAAAACCAGTCCAATTGCAATATACTTGTATGTAGAATGCATCCATCACCTGATCCTAATGACTATGAAACACATACAAATGTCCCATTCAAACGATTTGATGACAAAGTCAACCTATATGAATCATACGCTTTGTTACTGACATATAAGAATGTAAAATGTGCTTATTTGCTTTATGAATGGAATAATGGTATCGTATCTTTTCGTATGAATGGTGAGAAAACCATCATGCATAATATTACTACTCATACACGTCAAGATCATACAAAAGAATCCTTTAACCCTTATGTTTACCTACACACGTCCCAATACACAAATACAATGAAGTTTGCGAGTAGTGTTAAGACAGTTCAGGTCAATAAAGTCACATTACTCATAACGTGGGTAGATGAAGATCCAACATTGTTTCGTGGGGGAGAGAGAATCACATATACATTGAACGAAGGAGCAGAGCATATAAACCAGAAGGTTAAATAGATCTTTTTTTTCAAATGAAGCTGATAAAGCAACTGAAAGCCGGAGCACATGAATGGCCGAAATCCCAGTAACTATGATAAAGAACAACAATCTTTCAAATAGACTCTCCACAGAAAACTTCTTATATATCTCATTAAAAAGGAAGGGGAGGTAGGATGATGAGATGAAATGCAAAATTACATTCCTTTATTCATTGTTATCTTTATCCAACAATACTTCCGTTTTAATTCAATGTGTTGAATACTCAGTGTAGTATTTATCTTTGTTTTCCAGTGTGATACTTTATTCGGCATAACGTTAACTTATTTGGATGGGATGTTTATTCAAGATACGATATTCTTGTGTATTTGTATCAGTCCTGGTGTTCTTACTTTGTGTCGTGGGAATTGCAGTGTTTCCTTCTTTTTATAAAAATAAGTAATAAGTCATTCCGACATAACAAATTGACGACGAGATATAAAAACACTGAAGGTTTTCACAATTGTTGAACCCTCAACACCACATTCCTCTACACACTACTTATAAATATCCTTGCGAGCAGCATCCACTACACCTTGTCTTAAATAAGTCACATCCCGATTACATGTTTGATGTTATTACAGCAGATATTGAGTATCCTCACACTTTATATATATATATATATATATATATATATATATATATATATATATATATATATCACGTAGAATTTCTAGTTCATGCTATGATGAATCAATTGACATACCAAGTGATTCGGAAACAGACCCAGAACCAGAATGCCCAGGAATGAAACAGTTTACACAGTCAGAGAATTCATATTATTCCACAAGTCTGACTTCTGTCTGAAATTCAGATCAAAGCTCTCTGCCTGCAATGGCAGAAATGAAGACTTACTTAACATTCAATTGGCTTGACCAGACACTTTTTAAAAGCTCATGCTCACCTCAGAAAGCTGAGATCAATTAACGATAACAAGTATGCCAATTTCATCTCAACAAATATGTTAATTATGGTCGATATGCACAAACTGTTCAATGTTTTCGGAAGTATATGATGACCAGCTATCAAATCTCACCATTCGTTATAATTGTTTACAGATACCCAAAAAAACTGATGACAATTACCTTACTTATTCGAACAAAGTGTGTGGGTCATTCAACCTAGTGAACCTTACTTCAGCAAATCGTTCAGTTAAATTGCAATATACCTTCACATAGAATGCAAACATCTACTAGTCCCAATGAGAATAAAGCAATATCTAAATTTCGTGCAGAAGTGGAAAATCTGTGCAGAATGAGTAAACGTGTCAGTCAAGGGCTATATGAACAGTTGGCAAACGGTAAGTTAAACAATACAGTAGTAGTCATACATGATCTTCCTAATGGTTCAGTAATTGGCGTTTCATAAACATAACCTACGATGGGTCTAAATACAGAATGTGCAACTAACGAATTATTAAGCTCACCGAGAGACTACATCTTATTAAATGTATATGAAATTGTGGTAACAAAGGCGGATAAAGTAACAGAACAATTTGTAAATGAAGCCGCGAATGTAGAATTAAGTGAAACTTTATCAGTCCTGCAAAATCCTGTAGGTGCAACAAAACAAAATGAAACAATAGTACATATTCACAACTATAACACAGACTCAAAACTATTTGATCATAATTGATCATGTTGGATAATCAATCGATTGATTACAATGTGACTCTATTCTAATTTTTTGTTTGTTTGTTTCATTCAAATCCACATAGATACCGAAGTTATTTCATTTGGAATCAAAATTCCTTAATAATGACTCAATAAACAAAAAATATTCAGATTTCATTAAAAGTAACCTGGATACAAACAAGAAAACGTTTGATTGTTTTTTGCAATGTTAATGATCTCGTTTTCAAGTATTGACAAAAAAGAAAAAAAGGAACTTGTCACTCTGTCTTTAAAGATCATTGATATATTCCCTTCCTATCTAATGAGGAAAAAAATATAGTAAAGCCCCCCTATCTTTAACACGTTTAATAATAGACCATTTACATTTCAATATTACGACTCTTGACGAATGTGATTACATATTGTAAATATAAAGTTTTACAATGAATAAATAGAGATACCTTTGATAAGTGTAATGTGTACTACTGATGTCGTCAGATATAAGTAGTACGTATAGGAGATGGAATGCCTGATGACAGAGGGTTGAGAAAATCGAAGAGAAGAGAACGACAACACAAAGTGATTGTTATAGAGACAAAGGGACAACAAAGTCTGAGAAAATTGACTATTACTATATGGATCTCAGATTTAACCATGATATACTGTAATGTTGTATTAAAAGACACTTGGCTATGCCCGCCTGTGTTCTCGTTCACTACACAAGTAGTTAAATCATACATTCATGACAAATTTAACTGTCATTTATAAACAGTAAGAGATATGGTAAAATTGATACATCAAAAAATAATGTAGGGCCAGTGGAATGCCACTGAACCCTAGCCAAATGATCCAGCAGTTGGGTCACTAAATATCGAACAGATCATCGATCCCCGTCAAGGTCAAGGACAATCAACGCGTATCAGTTAATCATACTCCATGGACTGGCCCATGCGGCAGTGGTTCTACTCTCGCTTGTATCTACTTTAACTAATATATTCCTGTAATAACGTCCTTTGTGTTGTACAGTCTTCAGAGCATCCATGATACCTTGATACGTCAATGAGGCAATCCACGTGAGGTGCTGATCACGAGGTGTGACTTCGAAGTTAGCTTGTTCGTTACACCGTTCTCGTCTACCTCGAGTAGGCCTCCAATCATTCGATATAAATCATTAACGTTGATGGTCTACAATAACCAAAAATTTACGGCTACATATTGATAGAACTATAGGCCAATAATTTTATTGAAAAAACACATTATCAATTTACTAATTCGTTGATTCAAAGTGTGATACTTAAATTCATGTTGATTGAGAGGAAGAGAGCAATACATCTTTTGATATGCTTCTTTTCTTAATGTGACTGGAATCGAATGAATAAGATTTAAATTATTCATCATTAGATTCATACATACGGAGTTGTGTTTCAGTAAATGAGGTGCTCAATTCCTAACCTCTGAATCCTAGAATCCAACTCAGCTCGATCGATACCGATCTGGTAAATTTGGTAATATCCATTGCTCTCAGCCCTATACTGAATAAAGTTTAACATTTAAAAATATGGTTCTAGGAGATGGAACGAAAATCTATGTATAAAGGAACACTTGAAATTAGAAAGTAAAGAGTAAATGCTTATAAGTCATGTTATCAACCTATTTATCCACTAATAGGACACATTCTGTTGACCTCAATCAGATAGTCTGTACATGTCAAAATAGTTAAGTCAAATATTCAACGATTTGATGAACTGGACCTATATCTGGGTTCGGTATCAGACATTTTTTTCCTAACACATATGGTATTTAGTCACTCCTTAACTTCATCTTTGAAATAATGTCAAATAAATATAGGAAATTTTACTTTCGATTGTAATCAATCAATCCTAATGCAGATTACATTAAGAGGTTCTCAACTATACAAACATGTAAATCTCTCACAATGTTATTTTGGAGAATGTTATATCGATTGAGTTCGTTCTTGTCCTGTTTGATTTATGAAAGTGATAAGACCGCCAATTGGAGAGCAGTGAAATTATTGATCGGATCAATAATCCACAAAAGCCGTATGAGCAGTCTTGAGTACTTACTAGTCCTGCTATCTCCCTAGCCCAACCAGTTAAGTCCACAACACCAATAACAGCCTCTACAATATAAATCATTATTCACAAACATACCACTCAAACAGACCACATCGTACCATAAAATAGGAAATAACATTTGTACAAGATTTAGCCAAATGTGGCTGTGATTAGGGGGAAACAGTAATTAATAGACTGGATATAACTCAAGAAAAGTAAGTAGTATTATCATAGCCTATAGGTCAAAATAAAGCTTATAATAAGAGGGACATGAATATGAATGTTTTAGTCACTTAAAAACTAAACAATAGGAAATATACATATCATATTGGTCCATAAATAGATCTCAGAGTTGCCATTCATTATTCCCCACAGGATACAACAGACAAAAATTTGTTAAATCTGTAGATATTCTATTTTGTGAACATATAATATTGATTCAATTGATGGTCAATAATCATCGCAGACTTATTTCAATTTTTCAATACACAACTAAATCTTACTCAAATTCTTTGTCGTCCATTTCAGTAGCGAGTTGATGTATTGTTATTTATCAGATTCCTGATGATTATCACGTTTGTTGTTGAACCAAGATCAGTAGGAATTCGAAATAGTTTAATGTTTAAGCAATGATGTTGCCATTTTCCAGAGAACAGTCATGAATTTACTACTTTGCTGTCAAGAAATCCAATCTAATCGGAAACTTGGGGCTACCTAGTAAACTGAATACTCAGTGGATGGGTACATCTTGAAAACAGTGTCATCTTCCAAACAAGAACACAGAATAACCAACCATACGAATGGGAGATGGTATAATTTTTATACGATCGCCAAATTGATTCAATCTACCTACTTATGAAATTCACGATTTCCCTGAAATACGAAAGCGTCATGTAAAGGGTGACGAACGATATAAAAACAAAATAACCGAGGCAAGTGAACATTCAGACTTCTCAGATCTTTGATAATCGTTTGAAAATTGGATGTGGTATTTTTTGTAAAACGCAGTCCGTATGATCTCAGTTCATAGACTTAACAGAAAAACTATACACTTCGTTTCACATAGTTTGACAAATGGTGAATCAGTAATGTGTGGATCTTTTATTACTTAAAATTATTATCACGATCGTACAGTGACAAACGAGTTAAATACACCAGATGTAACTATTATCCTAGGACTGTACATCAGATAAAGCATACATTATATGACATATTGGACGTGTCCTCCAATGCCCTGGTACGACCGAGGGTATGGAGATTTGTCTCTCCCTCTCCAAATGCTCTCATATGCACATATGCATACAACCACTGTCAGCGAATTCCTACTCACTGACTTCTCGTGGCGTTACTGTTGTTTATGAAATAGAGAGCACGACAAGCAAATGTGCGACGATTTAACTGGGTTGGTGGACACGGAGCGTCCACCTAAGAGAGTTGGAAAACCCTGATTGCAAACCAATGGTGCACATAGGCTCAAGGATCGTAAGAGATCGAATAGCGTATGGACCAATTATTGGTCACCGGCTACCATGAGACTGAATCTCCTGAACTGGCTCCACTGCCTTGTGGATAAGTCCTTCAGGTAGAAGGCTCCAGATGTGGCTCCCTACGAAAGCCACCTTATTCGGTCTGGGCATGCCGGGCAGTATCACAGCCCACACGCAAATCAAATAACTTGTGTGGCTCATTTGTATTCGGTGCCCACTTTGTACCAATATTTATGTACTCAAAAGAAAGGTAAATATAAAATAACAGACGAGTGAATCACAATCCAGAATGTGACTTTCATGCATTTGTCCAGAAACTGAAATGACACATATAACGAGCAGTAGAAACGTATTTCTACACTACTCAAAACGTTTAGAAAGCTTGCCAAGAAGTTAATTTTTGGCACTATAAGATACAAATGGTATTGTTAAACGTATTAGGTTTTAGTGAATAACTAAAACATTTACCACACAGTTAACTATTTTATGTTGTGTTCACATCTGCTTACTTCAAATCAGAATTCTTGCTTATGACTTGTCAAAGTTCTAGACTTATTCGGATTAGTAGTATTTCATTGGCTTATTTCAAAACGACATTTCGTGTTGAAGTATACGTGGATTCAAGTAACTTCAGGAAATCGCCCGTCATCACCTCACTGAGGGAAGTGAAATATTATCTAGAATGTTTGATGCTTGGTGTTCGTCACATAACTTCAAGGAAGATAGCATTTATCTCGTTTTATTACTGTTATTGGTAGAGAAGTCGATAGTTCGTTAAACAATCTTGCACATCTCAACAAACCTATTATAATGCCGTCCAACGAACTTCAGACATTTTCATGTCATGTCATTTCGGTCAAGGTGATTAATAAGCGACAGGTATTTAATTTTGTGTGTGTGTGTGCACTGTTAATGATGAAAATATGTGACCTTTATAATGACAAAGGATAGAGTTTAATTTGTAATGTAATGGTGTGAAATTGTAAATGATATCAGACTAGGTGACTGGGATAGATAGTCCAAGTAGGATGTACGGTAAGGCCTTCCTTTCTATTGAGAGCAGTAGGATTTAGTATTATATGGAAAGCTTCAGCTGCTCTTCTCTCTTTGTAATTGGAAAAACTTATTTGTAGTATTTTGATATTTTTGAAATCATTTTGATGATCGTTGAAAATGGCGTGAACTGCTATTGCCGATTTAATTTGAAGTCGATCCAGTTCTACAGGATTATTAGGAGGTTTATTTATGTATCTAATATGTTCTTTGACACGAGTGAAGATTTCGCGAGATTACTCTCCAATATAGAAGGCATCACAATCGACACAACCTAATTTGTAGACTCAGTTCTATATAGACATGAATGGGATTTTTTCTTTTAATCGAACTAAAGTATTTCGAAGTGTGTTCGTTGTTATGTAATATACTTTAGTTCTATGAACTCGTTTTGTTTTCTAACCTTTCTAAGTAACAATTTACAGTTATTACGAAAATGCATTCACTTATTGTTAACACTAATTGGTCATATCCCAATGACAATAATGAATGGTAACTTTGGAGATCCATTTATGAATCAATACTATGTGTATATTTTATCGTATAATTGTGAAATAACTAAATTACTCATATTCATGTCCCTCTTACTATAGGCTTTATTTTGATCTATGTACGACTCATCATTCTTGAATTATCCCTACTCTATCAATTACTATCTCCCTTATTCACAACCACATTAAGTTAAATCTCGTACAAATATTGTTTCCTGTTGTATGGTGTGATATGGTCATTCTGGTTGGTAATATAAACCCACTATGCTTGAAATACACGATTCATATGGTAGAGGCTGAGATTGATATTCTGGACTGAACATGTAGGGTTAGGTAGGGTGAAGGATCGATAATTCACTGTTCTCTAATTGGCGATATCACTACGTTATATATTTATATGAAAGAAGGCCATAAGTGATAACATTAGTATCATAGATTCAATTGTTTCTGAGATATTTTTAGTGACCCGATATCTGAATCCAGTTAGGTCGTTTCTGATTGTTACTGAAATGTACATGTCCACCCAGTCAAACATGAATCGATATTTATAGACGAACAAAAATAAGTTCCAGATATTTGATGAGCAAGTTAAGCAATTAGCCCACATATTATCATATAAAAAGCAGTCAGAATTAAGAAGCGAGTAATTAACAAGGTCAAAATGTGACTCAAGAAGAATGAATAAATTGGCCTATCCGTAAGCTAGAATATTCTATGTGGGCCTTATATAGCAACCGACACTTCAGATTTGTTGTTTGTTTATGATGGATTGGTGTTCATTTAAACCTACAGGTTGTGTAATCATTGAGATCACTGGGTATCAGTTACCCGTTATTGTCACACTTGATATTCCATTGCAGGAAGAAGAGATTAGTTGTGTCAATATCCCTTCACTGACTAGTATGTCCCATTTGTGCTTTGGTTGAAGGGCCTAAAATTGCTGTAGGTAGGCAATTCTTTGTGCACCAATTCTTCTGACAGTAACCCAATCGGAGATTTAGTCCTACGGTCTTCGAAGGCCGTAGGAGTTATGAAAATTCACTCAGTACACTTAGAAGTAAAGGGAGAGCCCATCTTCT